GTGTGCAAGTTGAGTGTGTGTTCCAGTTGTGTGTGTGTCCTGTGTGTGTGTGTATTTGTTGTTGTCTTTGCGCTGTTGTTATTATGATACATCCCCAACTCGCCCAAGCTGCCATCCTCACAAAAAATTAAGAAAAGGAACAGCTTTTCCCTCCTCAACTAGCTATTCGAATAAGCGGACACGTGAAGTAACACTAATTATAGGTAACTCAGTGTTGAGCATTGTCGTGCGCTGGAGTTGGTAAAGCACAGGGCATCGGCTGATGAGCTTCAGACACTAGAGAGTTTTAGATGAACCGTTTTTTGCACATCCTATGGTACGATGGGCCCTCAGGTACAAACTGCGCATATATGCTACCGCAGAAGTCTAGCAGAGGCGCAGTTCGAACCGAAGGGCCCATCGTATGGTATCGGATGTGCAAAAACGGTTCATCTAAAGCTCTCTAATGTTAGAGTTCGGCTATCCTGTCGCGACCCATTACGCGAACATTCGGCGATGCTGATTGTCACGAACCCCAGCACTCGACTCGAGCGCATGACAGTCGAGTACGTTAGGGTGCAACGTAACTCGCGCTGCGAAGTCGTGATGTCGTGTGACGTCACGGTGTCAACAACGCTAATGAATCCAGGGACGTTCTAAATTATAATTGACACAGTGAGTCACACGACTACGTCACATGACGGCAGGGGGCCACATGACGTGACGTGGCGTTGCTTGAAAACCTGTCCTGAAACTGTCGTACTTGTGGAGCGCGTCTTCGACATGTGTGTTTAGCGTCCCATCCTGCCCATACATCAAAAATTGTACCGAAGCGGCAACAAATGACGTCACTGAAGCTGGAATGTTCTGTTACCGGATGTCGCGATCCTGGCGGTTGGTCGTAGGAATACTGGCGAAAAGCAGGAGTGAACGCGAGTGTCGCTGTCGTCGCGACGTCCCAACTTCTGACTGCCGAAGCTTCCTTGGACTGCCGCACTGGAGAGCGACCTGCAGCAGAACAGGCGTCTGCTACACACACCATCGTTTCTGGAACACCGCCAGGATCGCGACCGGCGACAGCATGACACTCCTATGACGTCATCAGGCGGAAATCGAGGGACCACTTTTTTGGTCGCGGTAAACACACCAGTCGGAGACGTGCACCAGGCATCATGAGTACTTTACACCATGCACGTCAAATGACCACGTGACACATGATTATTTCTAAAGCCAATACAAAAGCGCCAGGAGAACCCACAATTTTTCACGAATTGTAATTTTGTATATGACGATTTGATCAATACATGAAAATACTAAGACAGCTGCCAATTTTTTATTCTGAATTATTAACTTCGTGATACCACAAAAAATTAAAAAAAAAATACCATGAACCATTTTGAACCGGTTAGCGTTATATTTTTTTCCGGTTCAGTGGCGGCTCAGTTTCAAGATTGCGGCGATGATTTCGGTTCGGTTCAGTTCCGGTTCGGCCAAAAAAAAAAGGTTCGCTTCCGGTTTTCGGTTCGGTACGGTTCCGGTTCGACACTCTGGGCGTGCCCTCGCTACAGGTGACGCATGTGACATACATGCAGGGTAGAAAGTTAATTTTTTCCGGCTGACATGGGTCGAAAGATGGAAATAAATCGACTCGACTGAATCTATCGAATTCCCCTCCACGCAAACTACCTCGTGCAACAATATAAAATCTCTTGCGCTGGCACCTTACAAACAGTTTATGTTGATTCATTGATGCCCACCAACAGCAACGCGCCTTCCCGGGGGCTATACGATATCAATGCTTATGCAACGATAAACAATAATAAAAGAAGCGACGATAGAGAGCTTACTTTTTTGCGACAAACTTGTTCCGCCTGCAGTCATCGAGCAAACGACACTCCGAAATGGAAAGGGATACTTGAGGACAGCAGTTTAGCCTCCCGCGAGGTTATTGCCATTGTGCGTGAGCAGTTTCCAAAGCTTCGAGCGCAGGTCGTTGCCACCGAAGTAGCTTTGTCGCCTCTTTGTTTGCTTACAGCCTTCGTACATTGTCACCTCGCATGACCACAGGTTACCGTGATACATTGTAACACAAACGTGTTTTGCTGTGAAATTTTGTCGTTGAAGGAGTGGACGCGGTGAAAGTGCGCGTGCTGACAAACGATTGGTCAACGACCCTTGGAACGGAACAATGAATACCTTTATTTATTTTTTTATTTTTTGGAAGAAGAGAGACGTAAAAAATATTGAATTGTGAACAACGAGATGAACCGGCGTTTTGAACTAGCTGCATTGCTAAGCTGCAAAACGACGCGGAATTTTGTTGTTGTTTTGTAAGGTGTATATGACGAGCATTATTAAGTTTTAACTTTTCAGCGCTATGTCTGTGCCGAAGAAATAATGTGCAATTTTATTCGTTCATATTTTTTCTTGTGTGTGTGTGTGTGGGGGGGGGGGGGGGGTAGAGTTGTTTTTAAAGCGATCAAGAACAAGAAAGAACACAAGGTCTACGCGGCGCACGCGCGAGCGTTGCAGAGGGACTCTTTGCCGCGCCGCGATGTGCAAAGGACGGCTGAGATGGACTCCAAAAATCATGTTTACACAAAGCTAAATTTAAAATGTTTAACATCTTTGTTTCACATCACACGGTGGCACAACTGCTCACCTTTCTGGTCAAAAAAAAAAAAAAACGTGGATAGGAAAATTTGAGTGAACTATCAGGTCGCATATGCAAGTTCAAAACATGCGTGCGCATATGAACCGGGCGCCGTTGTTAATTTTGTTTTTGCCTCCGAAACCTTCACAACACTGCCGATGCGAGCCGCCACTTTTGGTTATTGTAAAGTCTGTGTCGTATTGCACATAACTAAAATTCCCAAAATTCAGAAAAACAAAAATTTGCCTGAAGGTTTGTTTTTTGTATCCGCGGTCGCGGCGCTGTGATTTTTAGATAAGAATAAAAGAGGATATGCGCTTGCGTATTGGGTTTTGTACACGAATAATGACAACTCAAATCATGAATATAATAGCGCCAAGGACAGACCAAAAGTAGCACATGAAGACGGGAGTAGCGCCGGTCCCGCCTTCAAGGTTTACTTCTTGTCTGTCCTTCGCGATTTCTTTTTTGTTCATAATGCTTATCGAAGTATCCCCCTTTAATAGTTTACTTAACATCATTCAGTTTTACAGCAAATTTATTTGCCCTTTCAGAGCAGTTCTTATGTCGCAGTGAGCGGGTGTTTTACTGGGAGCTAATTGTACACGGGGGCCTGAGAAAGAAAGAGAGAGAGAGAGAAAGAGAGACAGAGAAAGAAAGAAAGAAAGAGAGAAAGCAAGAAAGAAAGAAAGAGAGAGACAGAGAGAGATACCCGCACACTTCTTTGAAGTGTAGCGCTACTGAACTTGTGGTATATTTTGACACCTTAAGACGTCCGCACAAGCTTTCATAAATGGAGGAAATTTTAAGATATTTTATATTTATTGCTGTGGATTCTTCTTGGGATAAATAAAAATCCCCGTTCCTTGCCGAGTCCGCAAACGAACTGCGGCAACAGCCGAGAGGCTGCGCACTGCTGCACATCCTGTCTTGTTTAAACTGAGCCGACTTGCGCGTCCCGCTAAGGAAGAAATTTGAGATTTGAGCCGACAAGACAGCTAATGGAGGAAAGGAAGATGCAGCGGTTCATACATACTATACTTAAGTTATCTGACGGAAATAAACACGCCAGTACCTCTTTAGATTATCTTCGTCAACCCGCTTTTTTATTATTTTGTTTACATCTTTCAGCTCTCAAAATATGTTCTCACCATTTACGACAGTCCCCATGCAGTAACTAGCAAAGGAGGCAGTCGAGGTGGCGAGGTAGACTAGTTATTACGACGTTAATTCTAAAACACACACACACACACACACACATTATATATATATATATATATATATATATATATATATATATATATATATTCTCCGTTAAACACTTTACGTCTCTCATCTTCTAAATTAAAAAAAGACACTGGTTGTTCTGTTGCAAAAGTATTTCACGTATCGTTCCTGTGCACGCACTTTCACACACACACACATACAGATATATATGATATATATAAACTTCAGCCCCCGCAATAATTATATTGCTGATTTTGTTTTGCTAAAACATAGCAATTTTTTAGAGAACGTTTGGCGTACTTTTTATTGTTTTCGTCGTGTAAATCCCCAAAAAAACCTTAGAACCAAATGTATATGTAGGAAACGTCAATAGATAACAAATTGCAAGGAAAAATTCTACGATTTTTACTATATATAAAAAAACGCACACCATTTCAAGATTGGGAATTATTAGTTTTATTTGGAAAGGTTTCGTGGAATATCTGTCAAGGTATACATACACCTTTTCAAATATACAGTAAAATATTGAGCGAACATCTAAAATATAATCCACCTCAAATTTTTCCGCTTTGAAGCATGAAAAGATTTTTAACGGAGCCCCCATCCCCAAAAATGCGTCTGTCCGTCCGCCTGTTGGTGCATTTCCCGCTAAATTTAACCAGGAAATTGACCTGACGTGACATAAACACGAATTCTGTTTCCCCGAAGAATTAGCGCAAAACTTGGTGTCACTTCAGCCGTGACCTAAGGTTACGAGACCTGTACACAAATTCAGTTTCACTGTCAAACTTAGCAAAAAATATGAATTGATCTATGCATAAATTGAAGTCCCACGCTAAATTTAGTGAGACAGTTGGTGCCACTGGACTTAACGTCTGGAGACCTATGGGTCAATTTATTTTCTCCGATAAATTTAGCGTTGAAATTGATAAACAAAGGGTTCCACTTCACTACCCCAAAACAATTGCCTAATGATCTTTCCACGTATTTACACGATTGCTCCTTAGACACTGAGTTTCGAGTTTTTTGAAGATTTTGGAGACAAAGTTCTCTGTTAATGTTGTATCTCTCCACTGTGAATGGGTGTTTACTCGGGATGATTCGATATCCTTGCGAGAATGTCCATTAGCTTGGTGGCGTCTCAACTGTAACCCCGCTTCATCCACGACTGCATGGCACTCCAGACTTTCCTCCATAATTCGAGGTACGTACTTTTCGCTGCAAGAGTTAAAGCATTTCGTGAATCAATAACTGCGCAACTATAAGGTTAAAAAGCATTAGCAGCAAAAGAACGCGACTGTTGTAACCAAAGGCAACCAAAGGCACGAGCAAGAATGCACCCTGGACGCCCTGAATATCATATATACTAAGAACAAAAAGTGGACGTTACACACGCAGGTCTCGAGGTCTTTGTGTGTGTTGTCCAGTCTGTGTTAATAGTCGCCAGTATTCAAGATGTTGAACGTTCATCAGCCCGCCTGCATCTTAACCGTTATTCATCAATTTACCCCGATACAATTAGCTGTAGTGTTATATCTGGATCAGGGTCGCTTCTCTCCTCAAAAAAGGCCCATCATTGCTTTTTTGTTCAATCTAACACTAATTGTGCATCGTGTTTTTATTGCGTTAATTGCTTTTTTATATTTATTTAGTTATATCTGTTCCCGCTCCTTTGTGTAGAATCCTCGAGGAAAAGAAATGATAATAATAATGATGGTAATAATAATAATGATGATAATAATGCTGCCGCTGACGATGATGGCGATAATGATGATGTTGATTTTAAATTATTGACAAGCAGTGTCCCCTTTCGTGACTGGGGGGGGGGGGGGGGGGGTATTAAGGTGCATCATATTCTTGGACGTTTTGGAACGCACGCTCAAAACTAGCTCCATTCTATCATCTGCCACTAATATATACTGAAATTGGGTAGAATGCACTTTTATGCACGTTCAAAATGCATTCCCCGTCATCAGGATAGCTGTTCTTAGAAGGCAATAACTGGAAGCTAGTTCTGTACATGCGCTAAGAATACCACGCTCAAATATGGCGGCCATTAAACAAATATCGTTCATCCTTTCCACTCTCGTGAAGAAGGAAGACGAGCGGAGCTGTACTCGATACACTGTGTGCTTCTTCTTCGTCGTCGTCTGTTTTTCGCGCTGTTTCCTACGATGAATTCCCACCCACGCGCCCAACTGTCCATTCTTCTATTATAGCTGTAAAGGTTGTCGCCATCTAGAAGCGACGGCGGAAACCGTACTGGTTGTGTGCTTGCCGCCGTCGCTTATAGATGGCGGTAGCTGTCCAGGTAGGTTTGTGTCGACATACACGGACACGATCCTGAGGAACCTAGCCCTTAACAGCTCCTCTGTAAAACCCTATAAAAATGAACTAGTAGTTCTTCGGCGCCGAAGCTGTATTGGGAGCTGAGTTTAAAATTTGAGTTCAGTCAATGATTAACTTTCCAACTTCTTTCCCTTATGACACCTCACGCATCAGTAATGGGAAGTGGCTGAAAACGCTGTATGAACGCCATCCTGACACTCTTCACACACTCTATAATGCACTCCGATATAATCTCGTAAAGACAATCATTGGTCTTCCCTACATCGGTTTATTGAATGACAAGAAAATTCGGTACACACACGTGGTCGCAGTAGTGTTCTAAGCGTTACCGAAAATAATATAACGAAACATGCTGTTCGGTATTTCTGAGTAAAAAGAACGCGTCACGGACTTACGTTACCTCAAAATAAAAGGAACATAATGCCGTTACCGTTACGGATTAAAAGTAACGTATCGCGTCATGTTATATTTCTAAATTAAAACGTTTTATTTTTTTTTTTTTTTTTACGTTACAGCCACAGGCACGCATATGCGCCATATTTGCCTTTCTGTTGGAAGAAGAAAGTCAAAATTTGGAGGGAATGTGTGATGAGCGCGAGCATTGGTATTACTTGGCGCCGATAAAATAGAAACACAAAAACAACTGAAGTGTAATTTCTTGAAATCTTGGGAAGAAGATGTAAGGAGAAGCGTAACTACGATACCAGTTACTCAAAACAGGTCACGTAGGTACGTTATGTGTGACCCTTTTGTAAAAGTGACAAGGACGTTACCAGGTTACCAGAAAAGTTACGCGATACCGGTAACGCCGTAACTTGTAACGCGTAACTGCCACTACTGAGTCGCAGTCCCAAACGGGAGGAACGCGATCTCCTTTGCAGGCAGCATATTGCCATCGAGACCCGTTATACCGCTCGCCATATTCATTAGGAATACTGTTAAAGGAGAAACAATAAGTGTAGGAGCCTCTGAGAGTGCTCTCTGAAATCTTAAATTGTAAATTGAGAAAGCCGGGAAGGGAAACATGCCTTTGCAGTATTTTTGGCAGCTTTCCTTGTCGGGAAAATTGTTCTCGTTGCCAGCGCAGCCGGAGTACACAAATTCTTTGCAATCTCCAAGTTCTTTGTCCCAGTAGTATCTCGTGAAGTTCTGATTGCACGGACCTCTCTCCGGCTGGAGAGTGCAAGCGCCATCGGGTGTGTCTGAAAAAGAAAAAAAAGTAATATGAGAGGTAGCATGTAAATATTAGGACGGTGGAGCAAATATTGCGTAAAGTATCTTCGTTTCCTGATTGTTAATGAAGTCGATATTCATTTTTGGTAGGAATTACATCGCTCTGTGTGCCAGACTGGAGTTTGGAACCTTTAAAATTTATACGGTTTTTAGTACACCTGTACATATTTCTAATAATAAAGTAGCATTCTACGCACGGGCAAATGGCTTGCGCATACGTAGAACTTCCTACCGAATAAGTTCGTAATCCCGCCGCTTTGTCCGTATTTATATTTAAAACGTTGATTTTGTTGCGTATAAAGGCCTGTCGGGCGACCTGCAAAAATTAGTTCGCGCAAAATCGGCGAGGTGGCGTCTATGTTGCAGGAAAGTGCAGGATTTAGTGAAGACCTTTAGTTTTAAAAGCAGCGACGATAAATAGACGCAGGAAAAGCAGACGTCACCCAGCACAAATTATCGGACTGGTGGCATAAGCCAAGGGAATAATATGTTTCGTTATTCTTGTACTTTCAGTCCGTAGGGGGAACAAATACCAACGTTACACGGATTGTTTTTTGGTTCCGGAGAATGTTATGCTTGTGCTTAGCGGTGATAATGGATTCTTTACCATTATCCATAAATTCCGAATTGACTCGGAAATTCAATTTCAAGTTCTAGTTTATTCTTTTAAAAGTTGTTCGTTCGAAGGCATTACATAAAGGGGAGGGGGGATTAAAATAAAAAAAAAAAGTACCGAACAATTAGTTACTTGTCCCGAATAGAAGCTTTTGCTAGGTGGCACACGCCCCCGCCCAATGAAGAGTGTTTTAACCGTATTCATTTGATGATTCCTCCATCCGTCCAATGCGATTAATCTTGTGCACATTATTTCTTTCGTACTTACATATGCACCTTGTTTCACAGTCGTGCTCAGTTTTGAAATTGTTTTCGTTGCCCCCGCAGCCGCTGTAAGTGAACACCTCGCATCGTTCCGTGTACTGGTTATAAAAGTAGCGAAGCTCTGGTTCCTGCCCCGATTCGCAATGACCGGGAGTCATCCTCAGCTTGCACACTCTGGGAAGTCGGGCGTCTTCCTTGCTGTCGTACACCGCGCCGACTAGTGGGGAAAAGACAAATGAAGGAATCTTAACCCTATGGACGGTAAACATAGAATGTGCTGCAAAAACAAAAACAAAACATCTTGCATGTGGTTATGGCAGTAACCATTTCGACGTCCGCCTTCAAAATAATTTTAGGTCCCATTTCGACGCACTTGATAGAGCTTCTTCAAGGCATGTAAATATATTAACATTTTTGCGACCGCCATTAAGTCGTGTTTTTTTAAATTGTTTTGACGTCTCAAACATAGTACTCCGGAGCTACGGAGTACGGACCGGAAAGGGAACGAAAGGGGTGATCAAAATGTATAATCTTGCACGCAGTCATCGTCACTCTTCAACACGCATTTTATCAAAACCAATGTCATGCAGTCGACTGCAGTTTTATTATCTTCAACATAATAGTGAATCCAAAACGAAAATTCAGAATATTTGATTGATTAGCTGTCATGTCGCACGTAACGTTTGCCATGGTGGTGCTAAGAATAATAATAATAATAATAAATTGGTTTATTTTTCTCGTGCCCACAAACAACCTCTCGGTTTACAGTGTGGTGCACTAAACATACATGGAGCAAAACCTAAAAATACAGGAAACAACAAAGTGAAATCAATAAAAGTCATGCAACATTATCATAATGTAAAAATTGATTATTGATTAGTTCACTGACATTCAGTCACGTAAATTTAACATAAAGTCATCAGTGATTAAAATGATGTCGAGGTTAAATTTCTTCAAATCTTAAGGGATTTGTATCTTTAACAATGGGATTACAGTGGATTACAGCGGACAATGGGATTACAGCGGACTATACTCACGCGAAGTTGGCAGCCGACGCTACGATGAAGCCATTCAAGCAGCGTCAAAAGGGCATTGTCACAACGCTCATCGCCATTGTGCGCCTGATATCACCCACGAAGCCAATCACGCCCAGAAAAGCCTCCCTGAACCTGAGTTTTTTGTGCATGATTGGCTCAAAGCAAAGCCACAAAAACCACAAGCGCCGTGACAATGCACTTTCGGCACTTCTAGCGTCCGCTACGGTCAAAGTGCAACGGAGTAAAGCGAGCCGCCCAGCATTACTTGCAGACTTTCCGACCTGTCTCCACCTATTCACTGATGTTTGTTTGCAAACGAGCTCGCACCCCTGCGCGCTTCGTTTTCCTCTTCTTTGCCATATGTCTATCATCCTTTTGTTATTTGTACTACTTTCTACAATGCGCGCAGGTACTTGTACGAAGGAAGGTTTTATCTAAACGCTGCTTTGCTGAAGACCAAGTAAATATACTACCGGAAGTCTACTGGGGCACCAAATACTGTGGTGCCTTCGTGGTACCAACTCCCGCCGTTTTCGGTGAATAGCTAATAAAAGTACCGCCAACACTCACCTCGGCATCTCTCCATGCACTCCTCCTCGGTTGCAAAATTATTTCCGTTGCCCTTGCATCCAGAGTACGGGAAGTAATCGCAAGAGTTCGTCTTGGCGTTGAAGAACACTCGCGTCTCACCGGGGCCCCGTTCCTCGCCGTCACACTCGCCTTCGTCCTCCTCTAGCATGCAGAACTTCGGAAGCCTCGGAGCATCCGGAACGTACGCGGCGGTGTACGTAGGTTCGGGCGCCGGTGTGGCGGGCACCCCTTGGGCCGTCGTGGTAGTCGGCGCTTCTACAAGGCAAAAAGTTAGAATCTCAGCAAGGTGCGTTCGGCCCTATGGCAATACCACTTAGAAGACAAGGCCTGGTCATGACATCATCGTTAGTCGATACTCGACCCGCCCCGGGCGGAAAACACGCTGAAGCTCGACGAGAGTAGACTGCAAAGCGGCAGACTATACGGTAGGCGTGCGCGTCCTGGCGTCCCTGCATGCGCGTCGCGCTCATTATGAGACGCTGCAAGGCGCGCTGTCGACGTCGCTAACGTGACGTAGGCGGCGCTGCCACTAGTTATGACGTTGGGGGGGGGGGGGGGGGGGAGGGGAGGGGGGGGGGGGGGATGCGGGGATGCGCAGGCCCTGTTTTGCAACTGGTATTGCTCTAGGTAAATATAATTTACAATTATAATCAAATTAAAAAAGAACAAATAATGGAGCGGCGATTGAACACACGGCCCTGACTGAACAATACCTAGGGTGTCGATAGCGGCAAGTGCGGGCAGTGATTAAGGTAAAAGGATTGTCATAATATTTTTTTTAAAATTTACTGCGACAGATTGTTTGGTTGTGATTCACCGCCAACTGGAACGCTGTGCTCTTTTGAGTGTCCGACTGCGAGAATGACGCCACTCTTTTGAACGAGAATCTATGGAATCCCAGCCACTAAGAATGTATTGACAAATTTCGTGAAGTTATTTGATAACAGGCATTCCGATTCCGGTTAGATGGAGCGTCGTTCTCGAATAGTTCGCTATATGTCATTTTAACTTACGTCCAGACACAGCCGACGCTACGCGCTAATGGGACCAATCAAGGAGCGTCATATTTCAGCGAAGATCACTTGGCCTTTTCTGTTTGTGATTTGTTCAGCATTGATAGAACACGTACAGAAACACGACGGACAGTATGACAGTATGATGGTGTCCTTTCTACGACGCCTGATGGATTCCATCAGCACCCACAGCTGACTGCGTCTAGACTTAGGCTGAAACGAACTATTGCACTGTGACTGAATCGTTATGTTGCCATAAAAGATAACCCTCGTTGATTGAAACAAAAATAAAAGCAGTGACATCCCCGTGCACTGCAGAGGACGATACTCAACTTTACATGCTCGCGTTGACATTGATGGCCCTTCGGCTATGGAGGGCAGCAATCCAACGGTGCGCCTACAATCAAAACGGTGAGCGCCTCACCATACGCAGCCAAGGGTAAAGATAATGCCACGGCAAGAAACACAAACAATCTCGCCGGAGAAGTACCACCAGGTTCGTTTAGAACGTTCTGCAGGCCAAAGCTCTTCAATACGGAAAAGTGTCGAAATCCTTCAAAGATTGCCATCTTGAAGCGATACAGGCGGCGCTATCGTCGACGCGCGACTGCGAAAGAGAAAACTATAAAAGGGTGTGCACGGGGGTAGGAGAGGGATAGCTATAGCACTAGAACGCGGTAAACGCCATAAAAAAAATTGCTCTACAATGGATTAAAGGCATAAGCTACGGACCGCCAGATTCAATCACGAGCCACTTAGGAATTGTGCGGTATTTCGCTTCGATGCACGTATCAGTGCCAGCTTCTCGGATCACTGATGAGGGGAGGGGTGTACAGTGGTTAGAATCTAAGAACACCGAGTGACTCAACAATTTTTCATCGCCAAAAAAGCCACGGCATATAGGCTCTTTGCAGCGTCGAAGCTATAGAAATTATACGCGTTTTTGGATTCGAGCATTATTCGTCTACCCCTAATCAATGTTAAGCGTGTCATAGTATAGCGTGGAACGTGATTGGACCTGGCGGCCCGTGGCTTTGGCCCCTAGTGCAGCGTAGGATCAGACAAAGTATAAAAGCGTATATCGCCAATCAAGTAACGCCGTCTTTCTTTGATTATATTTTTTGCGGATCATCAAATGAAACGCAGAAACCGTAAAAATGCGCTTTCAGTCCGTGTGCGTGTGCTCGCGTGCCTTTTGGTCTTTGAATGTGCGCTGACATAAGTTGAAGCCAAGTATTGGAAGACCGCCTGCGAGTTTGAAAGAGCGAAACAAAACGTTTGCACGCCAGAAAAGACAGAAGGTGCCGCTACCTTTCTTATTCACGGACATTACTGCTGGCCCAGGAAAGCACGCGCTCCGGTGTTCCTATTTGTTTTGACCATGACGAAAGTATCATGCATAAGTGCCTTATACTAACCTGCAAACGTTAAAACGTCGAAATCATCGTCCTCGTCACTTTCCTCATCATCATTATCGGAGTCACCTGGAATTAAGTCACGTCTTAAAATATACATCGAGAATATTGCCAATTGTTCAAATACCCGCGTCTCATAGATTAATCTGTCGGTGGAGAAGGATATCGAGGTAGGCACTCTCAAAAGCTAAATTGCATCGCACGCATACTTTGCTTCAATGCACATGGGACACAGATCGTCGGGTTTTTGTTGAATGAGCTCAGTCCTTGAGAAGTGTGACTGGTACCGTGCTCAACGTCCATGTGTTCTCAACTGTAAAATACAAGTCGCGTTTTTCCAAGGAGACTGCAAAACCACTGGGGCACGATACTGCCCGGTATTTTAATGGCCGAAAGGGTTCATGAAAGCCCAGTGATGGCTGTCTCGTATTTACCCAACACCTCCTATAGAGAAGAAGGCTGTAGTGCTGAGTTTTCAACGTCACCCATAAGAGCGGGGCACTTATTGAACCCGAGTGCAGTTTTGAGCGCTTGGCTCAGGCCTGAGTCGCATGTTGCGGTTTTATTCTCCATCTCGCAATCGTTAAACCGCTCTTGCGGCAAAAAAAAAAAAAAAAAAAAAAAAGGCTGCAGTGTTTGATGTTGTAGTTGCGAAATCGCGAGCAAGTTGGCATCATGTCAATCGGGCTTTAGACTCGTCTCCAATCACGAGTCTCAGCCAAATGCTGGCGCAGCAGTCGTATCCAATGTTTGCTTTGCTTGCCTTCTTAGCTGACGTTGAAAATTGGGCCGTCCGGCCTTCTTACCTAGGAGGTGTGATTTACCGCGGGGCAGTGCACAGGGAAGAGGTTAGGAGAGCGTGCGATCGGAGTTTCTGACCATTTCATCATTCCCACAAGCACCCCACGATGCCTCTTTGGCATCCTTCCTTATGTTGTGCACGAACGTTGCATAAAATAAGTCTGAAACAGGAAGAAAGTGCTGCGACTAATAATTCAGTTTTATCGAAGTGCGTTACCGGTGCCTCCGAGTTTGTTTTCTGGGTTCTCTTCGGTTCCGGTATTGTTCTGTGGCGGTGCTGGAACTGTTTCCGAAGGAGTTATCGTCGTTGCCCGTGTCTGTGTGGGAGGAGTGGTGGACTCTTCCGAATCGCCATCGTCGTATTCTATAGTTTCATACGTATTTCTTTTTGAGCTGCTAGAAACGACTTCTTGAAGAGCTGCAGAAAACAGTGGGTTTGAACAAACAAACATGAGTGATGGCCTTCAAACTAGCGGTTTATGCTCAATTTCACTTTGGGTCCTACCGTAACCGACGCTGCACTCTAAAAAAAGCCCGTGCGTCTGCTTTCCCGCACAACACTCGGAGAGCCAATCACCGCTACTTACGAAGGCAGATCACCGAACGACGATGCCGAGACATATGTTTAGGCGAAAAAACGCAGTCTGAGTTGTGACATTAAGCAATGCAAGCGTGATGTTTTGCATTGCTTAAAGTCACAACTCAGACTGCGTTTTTTTTTTTTTTGTGTAAACATATGTTTCGGCATTGTCATTCGCTAAGCTGCCTCCGTAAGTTGCGGTGATTGGCTCTCCAAGCGTTGTGCGGGAAAGCAGACGCACGGGCTTTTTTCACAGTGTGTGAGCCAATGCAGTCAATCAGGTTGCCCCAAAAGTGCATCGTCACGGCATTCATAATCTTTCTGCGGTTGATATCAGTGACTAAACCAATCGCTCACTGTGAATGAACCGTGAGCCTGCGCTTTCTTCTGTGCTTGATTGGTTTAGCCGGTGATAGCGTGCCCACAAAGACAATGAGCGCCATGTCGACGGAATGTCGACATTGGCTCCATAACATTGCAGCGTCGACTCCGGTTAGACACTGAAACGAGTCACTTTGGTCGGGAAGCACATTCACAACTTCAACCGATGAAGATGGTGACTCAAGATAAAGAAACCATAACCATCGGCTCCTTTATACTGACAAAGCCTGGCAGATCGCCACGAGACGCGGCCGCCGAGAGTGAAAAGGTAGAGCGGCAGACAATGGATGAGAGGAGAGGCATGTAACGGGCGCCCTGCTGCGGCGAAACGCCGAAACACACTTCTCCCGATCGATGGAATATGCGCTCGTGCTCCTCGCGTTCCCCGCGATACCGCTTCTTTTCTCGCGGGGTTTGAAAACCTTGTTTCGGGTCCTCGGCGGTGCAAAAGCTGTGCGCTGACTACCCGGTTCCCCGAGAAATACTCTGTGCTATACCAGATCCTCGCGCTCCAAATCTGCAACCGGGCACTCTATGGCTCCGTTTTCGAACTGCCAGGCTTTGTCAGTATAAAGGAGGCTATGCTCTGATCTACGGAGGTAATTTACCGCGTACCAGAGCTCGAAACGCGACTTGACTCATGACCGCGTGTGCAACGGAGGGTCGATGAGCCTGACATTTCGCTCGCTTTTAGCGCAGATGCCGTTTCTGCTCGCGTCGGTAGTTCCGTGTTTATTTCGGGGAAGTACGCGAGCGAGGAATTTTTTTAAACAATGCCGTTATAATTGTCTTTGAAGTAAGGATGTCCGTATGCCGGTTCGAATAAAATAACGCTGCGCCAAACGTACCCGTGAAAGGAAGAGTCGAGTTAACCGGTTTTCTTAACAGCGTTAAAGTTAAGAAAGGCACTGCGCTCTTCGATTCCAACTGGTACGGCAGTTCTTTTTTCTTTTAATCGTCATGGTTCTCGGATCTATATATGAGTTTTTTTTTTGCAAGTTTAACGAACTAGCAAAAAGATAAAATAACCACTTACTTATGATAGTTGTTACCAGAAGAAGGCTATTTATTAGATTACCCATATTCCGTATTTTCAAGTTATTCTTCTTGCCAACTGAACGGAATGGGCGAGTTTCTTTCTAGGCGTTGGTTAAGAATAGTCAGTCATTAACTCCTGTGAAATGAAGATAGATGCAGATAAAAAAACGCCTAATTAAAAGCATTTTTCGCCTTTAATGGTAACAAAAAAATAATAACTCTAGCAAGGAAACAAAGAGAAGAAGGGTGTACTTGCAAAAACCAAAACCAAAAATGAAAGCCGTTTGCAACTCCCTGTAACACCGAATTGGAGCGCAGCTCTTGAGGAGGAGGAGGGGAGGGTACTGAGTGTTACCTGTTCTCGGGGCGGGGGGGGGGGGGGGGGTCATGTGACCTTAAGGGGTCACGTGACCCCCCAGAAAAATTTTTCCGCTAGCTTTAGCGGGGGATTTTTTCCGCCAGATTTAACGGGGAAATTTTTCCGCTAAATTTAGCGGGGAAATTTTTCCGCTAGATTTAGCGGGGAATATTTTTCCGCTAGATTTAGCGGGGAATTTTTCCCGCTAGATTTTTTCGCTAGATTTAGCGGAGAAATTTTTCCGCTAGATTTAGCGGGGAAACGTTTCCGCTACATTTAGTGGGAAATTTTTCCCGCCAGATTTAGCGGGGAAATTTTTCCGCTAGATTTAGCGGGGAATTTTTTCCGCTAAATCTAGCGGGGAAAAATTTTACGCTAGATTTAGCGGAGAAATTTTTCCGCTAAATTTAGCGGGGAAACTTTTCCGCTAGATTTAGCGGGGAAATTTACCCATAATGCACCGCGCAGTTACGCCGACGGCGACGGCGACGGCGACGCCGACGCCGACGCCGCTCAAGCCGGAAACGGGCCCCTAAGAGCTGCGCTCTAAAACAAACTCCCTGTAACGCCGAATTGGAGCGCAGCTCTTGAAGAGGAGGAGGGAAGGGTACTGAGGGGAGGGTAGACCCCTCCTCCTCCTCCTCCTCCCCTCATTCTTGAATGCTCCGGGGGGGTCACCTGACCTCGGGGGGGAGGGGGTCACGTGACCTTGGGGGGTGTCACGTGACTTCGGGGGGGAGGGAGAGGGGGTCACGTGACCTTGGGGGGTCACTTGAACTTGGGGTGACCTTGGGGGGTCACGTGACCTCGCGGTTACGCCGACGGCGTCGCCGACGCCGCTCAAGCCGGAAACGGGCGCTTAAGATTTGCGCTCTAAAATGAAAGCCGTTTACAACCCCCTGTAACACTGAATTAGAGCGCAGCTCTTGAGAAGGAGGAGGGAAGGGTACTGAGGGGAGGGTACACCCCCTCGTCCTCCCCTCATCCTTCAACCTCCTCCCCTCGTCTTGGGGGGGGTCACGTGACCCCGATGTCACGTTAACCCCCCCCCCCCTTCCCCCGAGGTCACGTGACCCCCGTGACCTCACGGTTACGCCGACACCGACGCCGACGCCGCTTGAGCCGGAAACAGGCGCCTAAGAACTGCGCTCTAAAACTAATACTTTCGAGATATCAACCGATAGCCCGTTGTCCGGCTAGAGGGTGCCTTGAAAGCACCGTTTTTCGAGTTCTGATCAGGATTTAAAAAACAGTATTCAAAAAATTCTATAAGAAAAAAAAAAATGCGTTGCGTGTTACGACACTACCATTTACTACACAAGCAAGACCAGGCGGTGGATTACATATTCATAATTTCGAAGGAAACACTTGCTCACTCAGAAGTAGAGAATATAAATGAACATTTTCCAATGGCTCAAGAATGAGCTAGGCTTTTTATTTCAAGTCGAAAAGGTGACACTTTCCCGTGGGCTATTTGAGCATTTGATCGCGCAAAAACAAAAATGATTCTTTTTTTGTTAAATCAAGCACAAGCTTGTTATTGCTATAGACGCGAAGAGGTCTTTACTCCCTACGGAGTCACTGAAAAAAAAAAGTATTTATTTGTATTTTCCGTTATGGTAAGCGTTTATTTTTAGCTAATTCACAAAAGAAACCTACTTTATATCCTCATTTTCACGATAAATTGTAGCGTTGTGGCACGCTAAAAAAGGTTTTTACGATTGATATAAAGTAGGTAAAATTCATCTGCCCCTCACGGAATAGAAACCACGCAACAATAATTGACATCCCTTATAGAAACAAAAGCTCCCAAGTGAAATCCTTGCGCTGCATTCCAAAGGTCACGAGATGAGTTTCAGCTGCGTAAAGGCTTCACCGGGAGGTACTACGGAACCAAAAACAATCTTCATTTGCGTGTATTCAGTTATTCTGAGTCTCGCTAGACATATACTTTTACTAGCCTGGCTATTACCACGAAAAAAATAAAAAAGAATAAAACCAGGTTTTGCAATATTTCTCAATAGGCAGCTTTATGCTTTGATTCTGAGTAAACAGAAACAACAAAAACAAGGCTGTCTAGAGAGTCTTATAGCTGATTTGTTATTTGAAATATTAAAAAAAAATTGACAAAACAAAATTAAAAACTTCTAAGGTTGGAGTTTGCAACCCTATTAAATCCAAGCCTGCCTAAAAAATAACGGCATCAGCAAACAATTAGAGATCAGATAGCAAGCATCGGAACAAACAGTGTCGTTGTGTGAACAACAGACACGTCACCGAAATAAAGGAACTAAATAAAGTTACTCGTTACTCACTACTAAAGTAACCAAGTACTTTGTTCTGTACCGCGATTCAAAAGGAACGCGTTAAGTGAGCTTGAAAGTAACGCGTTATTTTCTCGTTCCTTTCAATGTGTCGTCTAGACGAGTAGGCGCTTCCACTCAATTTCGTCATTAACAGTTTCTTCATTTTTTAACAAGTTCATTCACAAATAACTGTGACCTTACGGACATAACTCGTGGACATCTTTTTTATAATTAGAGCAAAATGTCGGGCGACTTAATACTAAATACAAAAAAAAAAATTATGGTGGCGCTTGAGGCATGCAGGGAAAAAAGGAGCAGACTGAGCAACACTGAGCGCTGTGTTGTCCAGTCTTTTCCTTTGTCCTTGTCTCAAGCGCTACCATATTTTTGAATATTTTTATGGTCTATCTAACTTTTGTTTTTGTCGCAAGAATTACAGGCTCGAAATGCGGTAAGAAATAGGTTGTGTACTTGTGTTGTACAGGTTCCCCTTGAGAAGTGGCTGAACAGTCACACGTTACTCCTTCAAGAAATAACGAAAATGCGTTACTTTTTGAAATAGACACAAGTAACGCGTTAAGTACAACTCTGGTTCAGAGTGAAAATGTATACATACATTCTTGGGAAGAGAGAAAAACACAGGAAGTGGTTTCACAAGAACAAAGTGGAATCGTTTCAACAGCCTCGAATACCAGTCAGGATGAAGAAGAGAGCTACAATAGAAGTCGCGAACACTGCGAGCTCAGTAGAAAAGCAAATTACAGGAAATAAGCGCCTCTTGTTACGCAAGCAGGAAGTTTTCTAAGCACACAACACTACGACTGTGCGTCACAGTACTATGCGTTTGTGATGCACCTGGTGGACATAGGTCACTGAACCCAAACCTCCGTTAAAGTGACTTCGCCCCCGCAAAGTCACGTTTTAAAGGCATTTTTCACGCGTGACTTGGACTTGTATCGGAGTTACGTAAGATTTTCACTTCAGCTTCGGGTTCGAGCAATTTTATACACTGAAATACAAGCGCCTACTTACTGATAATGTGGAAGTTCGACGTCCGTAATCTGGTCAGACAGATTGACTGATAAAAAAGAAGAAAGGAGAAGTTGGCAGCGATTTTTTATTTTCGATCTCCAAGAGAGTTTCAGAAAATGACGATCGTAGGGGTCTCATGGCTATTTTTTCTTTTCGAATAAATTTTTAAATGATGTAGAAATATCTCTTCAAACAACTAAGCGGAGCTTGCTTTTGTAAAATATTTATTTTGTTTTCGTTAAAAAAAACAAAAAAAAGAACTTGCCTCTGAGAGGAGGGGGGGGGGGGAGGGAGAACGATTTTCTCAATTGCGCGTAGACGCAAATTTGAGGGCTAGAGAAATAAAGAATACAACTTTCTACAAACGCGAATATTTTTTTTGTATAAATAACACAAACCAGTGCACTTGTATTACTTACATTTTATTATATTCATGTTTATATTTTAAGTAATATAAAATGACAAACTGGTCTCTTGCTCATCGTTTTATAATTTAGTAAACCTCTTCGTCGATTTTTTTTTAACTTTGCTTAGAATTAAGTTCTTAGACTGAAACTTTTTGTACAAAATATTTCATTCTTCGTTCATTTTTTTTAAGTTACCACTTAACTATTGTAAGTGTTTTTTTTTTGTTTTTTTCACATTACGCCCGGACTTTTTTTAGAAAATGGAAAAAAAGTGAAAATTGTGAAAATTTTGTTTGGCAGTTAAAAAAAACAATCATCCTCATTTTTCACCGAACTTGCCTCGATGAACTATTGCAAACCGGCCATTCAAAATCCGCGAAATCTATTATATTGATTCAAATAAAAAAAAAAAGCTTTTAGCAAGGTTTATATTGCTGTCGATTATCATTGAAGGGTTTCTGTTTCAACGACTGATGGTATTCGTGCACCGCATCCACAGTGGCCGTACTTAGCAGCATTAATGCCAGAAAACCATAAAGCATAAAAAGAAAAGAAAACTGCGAGCCTTTTTTTTTTATTATTAATGACCATGTTGGTATATCCTCTAAAATTTGAACTTCGCGGCGCGTTCGGTCCGTATTAGGTTATTGTACTGGGTTGATTTCGCAGCACTACGCTATCTTCCCAGGCTAGTACATAATATCGTGAGCAGTCTACTGGACAAATAAAATGGTTCGATTCATTTCTCTCGACGTCAATATAGGCCGTTTCTTACTAGGATGCGCGGATGTTAGAAGCTGTCTCTCGGCCAATTCCGCTTATCAAGCGAGAACGCATCAGTGCGCTCCCTCCCGAAGGATTGACTTGTATGTGTGGCTCGTAGTCTCCTCCCATCGTGAGGCAAAACGGAGCGCAGGAGCAGGCGACGTTGCGCAATCTTA